GGCCTGGAATAGGCTGCTTTTGCAGAAAGCCCAGTTCCACGCTTTAGATGGTTATCTGTGTGCTTAGGTGCCTCGTGGAGCAACCCTGTCACTGTAACTTCCTGATTTGGGGTTATGAAAACAAAGGAGAATGAAGAGTTGTAGCTCGATACTTGGGACCTGAGCCCTGTTCGAGTCTGTGTGGGGGATTCCAAGATGGCAGAATAGCGACTAGGCGACAACAGTCAAAAGTGGACAAAGTGCATTCTCAGGGCAGAGTTGCAGGGAAAACTGTAGTGGCGAGTCTGCAGAAGGAGGAGAGACGCTGTGGATCTGTGTGGAAGGTGCAGGCGCGCAGCAACAAAATCGGGCATAACAAACAATCCCAGCCGCCCCAGCCGGGGAAAGCAGCAGCCGTGGAGGGCAAGGCGAGATCAGAGTGCAGCAGCCCATGCCACTGGTGACGCGGCCACAGGGCGAGGCAGCAGACTGCACTGAGTCCAGCCCGGAGCCCTGAGCGGAACAGGGCACATGCTCACCCAGAGGGAAAAAAGGGGCATGTCTCTCTCTCCCATCCCCCTACAATGGTGCCTGAACTGGCTAGCGGGCACCATTCTGGACAAAAGTAGGGAGCCACTGCTGCAGGTCTTATGTGCACACCCAGCTACTGACGGGGACAGTCGCCATCTTGTCAGCAGAGGCAAACACAGTAGCTCCTGTGCACAAACCCGGGAACGAGCAGGGAGAAGGAGCCTTTCCAACGCCAGTACTGGCTGCACAGTCTTGTACGCGCCCAGCACAGTACTGCTGCACACTCCTGTACACGCCCAGCACAGTACTGCTGCACACTCTTGTACACGCCCAGCACAGTACTGCTGCACACTCTTGTACACGCCCAGCACAGTACTGCCTGCACACTCTTGTACACGCCCAGCACAGTACTGCTGCACACTCTTGTACACGCCCAGCACAGTACTGCTGCACACTCTTGTACACGCCCAGCACAGTACTGCTGCACGCTCTTGTACACGCCCAGCACAGTACTGCTGCACGCTCTTGTACACGCCCAGCACAGTACTGCTGCACACTCTTGTACACGCCCAGCACAGTACTGCTGCACACTCCTGTACACGCCCAGCACAGTACTGCCTGCACCGCCCAGCACAGTACTGCTGCACAGTCTTGTACACGCCCAGCACAGTACTGCTGCACACTCTTGCACACGCCCAGCACAGTACTGCTGCACACTCTTGTACACGCCCAGCACAGTACTGCTGCACACTCTTGTACACGCCCAGCACAGTACTGCCTGCACACTCTTGTACACGCCCAGCACAGCACTGCTGCACACTCTTGTACACGCCCAGCACAGCACTGCTGCATACTCCTGTACACGCCCAGCACAGTACTGCTGCACACTCTTGTACACGCCCAGCACAGTACTGCCTGCACACTCTTGTACACGCCCAGCACAGTACTGCTGCACACTCCTGTACACGCCCAGCACAGTACTGCCTGCACACTCTTGCACACGCCCACCACAGTACTGCTGCACACTCCTGTACACGCCCAGCACAGTACTGCTGCACAGTCTTGTACACGCCCAGCACAGTACTGCTGCACAGTCTTGTACGCGCCCAGCACAGTACTGCTGCACACTCCTGTACACGCCCAGCACAGCACTGCTGCACACTCCTGTACACGCCCAGCACAGTACTGCTGCACACTCCTGTACACGCCCAGCACAGTACTGCTGCACACTCCTGTACACGCCCAGCACAGTACTGCTGCACACTCCTGTACACGCCCAGCACAGTACTGCTGCACACTCTTGTACACGCCCAGCACAGTACTGCTGCATACTCCTGTACACGCCCACCACAGTACTGCTGCACACTCTTGTACACGCCCAGCACAGTACTGCTGCACACTCTTGTACACGCCCAGCACAGCACTGCTGCACACTCTTGTACACGCCCAGCACAGTACTGCCTGCACACTCTTGTACACGCCCAGCACAGTACTGCCTGCACACTCTTGTACACGCCCAGCACAGTACTGCTGCACACTCTTGTACACGCCCAGCACAGTACTGCTGCACACTCTTGTACACAGCCCAGCACAGTAACTGCTGCATACTCCTGTACACGCCCACCACAGTACTGCTGCACACTCTTGTACACGCCCAGCACAGTACTGCTGCACACTCTTGTACACGCCCAGCACAGCACTGCTGCACACTCTTGTACACGCCCAGCACAGTACTGCCTGCACACTCTTGTACACGCCCAGCACAGTACTGCCTGCACACTCTTGTACACGCCCAGCACAGTACTGCTGCACACTCTTGTACACGCCCAGCACAGTACTGCTGCACAGTCTTGTACACGCCCAGCACAGTACTGCCTGCATACTCCTGTACACGCCCAGCACAGTACTGCTGCACACTCCTGTACACGCCCAGCACAGTACTGCTGCACACTCTTGTACACGCCCAGCACAGTACTGCTGCATACTCCTGTACACGCCCAGCACAGTACTGCTGCACACTCTTGCACACGCCCAGCACAGTACTGCCTGCACACTCTTGTACACGCCCAGCACAGTACTGCCTGCACAGTCTTGTACACGCCCAGCACAGTACTGCCTGCACAGCCCAGCACAGTACTGCTGCACAGTCTTGTACACGCCCAGCACAGTACTGCTGCACACTCTTGCACACGCCCAGCACAGTACTGCTGCACACTCTTGTACACGCCCAGCACAGTACTGCTGCACACTCTTGTACACGCCCAGCACAGTACTGCCTGCACACTCTTGTACACGCCCAGCACAGTACTGCCTGCACAGTCTTGTACACGCCCAGCACAGTACTGCCTGCACACTCTTGTACACGCCCAGCACAGTACTGCCTGCACAGTCTTGTACACGCCCAGCACAGTACTGCTGCACACTCTTGTACACGCCCAGCACAGTACTGCCTGCACACTCTTGTACACGCCCAGCACAGTACTGCTGCACACTCTTGTCCATGCCCAGCACAACTGTGAAATGAGTAGGGCTGCAGCGGGTAGGGATTCTGCATGAGTGTGATTCAGGTATTTTGCCAGAAGGAAAAACCCATGCTCCCCACTGAATTTCAGTCTGGCTAAGAGGACAGACGGGTGCTGGACACCCACATACAACTCTGAGGTGCCCTGAGGCTCTCAGTGTATCACAGGGACCAGGGTTCAAACCACCTACATGGAGGACGCACAGGCAGCTAGCTCTGGGAACGTCTCATTCTCTCTGAGCATCTTTTGTGCAGTTCAGGCAGAAGCACAGATGAGTGTTGCACCCACTGAGGGCTAAACCTCAGGCACTGACCACCTTGGAAGAGAAGTGATGCTGTGATTACACCAACAGCAGTGACCAGAACCCCCTTTTGTTATCAAGAGGAGATCTACCACACCCAATTGGGTGTCACCCTGCATAACTGCCCCACCTTGGAGCATGAACCAGGGCTCCCTGGCCATACCCAGCACACACCTCTGGGTATTCACTGAATGAACAGACACTGCACAAAGCCACAAAGGCATAGTCCAAAAGATAAAAGCCATCAGAGGAAAACAACAACAAGTATCTCCACAAATTCTAAAAAATAAACGCAGAAATTCAAGTAACACAACTCACACCCCACCAAAAGGAATGCAACAATACTTCAATACTAGAACGTAAAGACAAAGAGATTGATGAAATGCCTGAAACTCGGGGCCAGCACTGTGGCACAGAGGGTTAAAGCCCTGGCCTGAAGTGCAGGGATCCCATATGGGTGCTGGTTCTAGTCGTGGCTGTTCCTCTTCTGATCCAGCTCTCTTCTGTGGCCTGGGAAGGCAATGGAGGATGGCCCAAGTCCTTAGGCCCCTGCACCCATGTGGGAGACCCAGAAGAAGCTCCTGGTTCCTGGCTTTAGATCGGTGCAGCTCTGGCCATTGTGGACGTCTGGGGAGTAAACCAGCAGATGGAAGACCTCTCTCTGTCTCTACCTCTCTCTGTCAAATAAATAAAATAAATCTTAAAAAAAAGAGAAATGCCTGAAACTCAATTCTAAATATTAATCATAGGATTACTCAGAAGCAACGAGAAACAAATCCATGAATTAAAGAAATTCATACATCTCATGAATAAAAAATTTTCCCATGAAATTGAGACTTTAAAGAGAAATCAAGGCCAACGCTGTGGCTCACTAGGCTAATCCTCTGCCTTGAGGCGCCGGCACACCCGGTTCTAGTCCCGGTCGGGGCGCTGGATTCTGTCCCGGTTGCCCCTCTTCCAGGCCAGCTCTCTGCTATGGCCTGGGAGTGCAGTGGAGGATGGCCCAAGTCTTTGGGTCCTGCACCCCACGGGAGACCAGGAGAAGCACCTGGCTCCTGGCTTTGGATCAGCGCGATGCACCGGCCGTGGCGGCCATTGGAGGGTGAACCAATGGCAAAAGGAAGACCTTTCTCTCTGTCTCTCTCTCTCACTGTCCACTCTGCCTGTCAAAAAAAAATATATATATATGGAGTTGAGAAGCCATGTTAGTTCACATTTCAGACACACATACAACTGAGAGTTTTAACTGGGCTGCCTCAATTGTGACAACAAACACAGACGCATGATGAATTCAAACTGGACCAAACTGCAATTCACTAGCCTTTGTTAACCCTTTGAAACCACTGCTGCTTCCCCTAAATTACTGAGAGATTGAGACAGCAGCTGAAACTGAGCCTCTATCCCTAATGCTTTTGATGCAGACTTTATCGGGCCCTCCTCTCTTCCTTAGGTTGCTGTTCCACTCTCTCCGGCTTGATTTCAAGTCAGCTCCTTACTAATGAGCTCATTAAATGGGGTGGTGCGTGGATCAGGCCAACCTCACAAGACCCCAGGTCACAAAACTCAAAACTCAGTGATCCCCGCTGCAGCTAACATATTAATGCTGCACCCCACTTTAAGATGCTTCCCAGGAAGCCCAGATGCTGATCAAACAAAGTGACCTCCAGTCCACCCATGCATCCCAGACTGGAGTCCATTTTCCCATCACTGCATTCTCAGAGCAGGCCAGGCATCTCCTGTCACTGACCAAAGGAAGGCCACATCACTGCAGACCAACCAGAGACCTGCACGTGAATTAATCACGTACTGCTCAATCCCAACTTTAAGATTTATTTATTTATTTATTTGAAAGTCAGAGTTACACAGAGAGCAGAGAGGCAGACAGAGAGAAGTCTTCCACCCACTGGTTCACTCCCCAGGTGGCCGCAACAGCCGGAGCTGCAGTAATCCGAAGCCAGGAGCCAGGAGCTTTTTTCAGGTCTCCCACGTGGGTACAGGAGCCCAAGGACTTAGGCCATCTTCTACTGCTTTCCCAGGCCATAGCAGAGATCTAGATTGGAAGTGGAGCAGCCAGGACTCAACTGGCACCCATATAGGATGCCGGGACTGCAGGCAGCGGCTTTACTCACTACACTACAGTGCCAGCCCCATGTGATCTTAAGCATTAAACATGGCCACTGTTCTGTAAAACCTCAGAGTGTACTTTCAAGAATACTTGAATTTGTGCTTTCCTGAAATGTGATCTGAACAAGCCCCAGAGCGGCTGTTCACTGGGCAGGCTGGTCCTCATCCATGTGGCCTCTCATCCTCCTGTGGGCATGGTGCCCTAGGCAAGGAGTCTTGAGACACAGCTCGGAAGTTGTCCAGCAATGCATCCACCACACTCTCATGACCACGGCAAGGCACAGGCTAGTGCAAATTCAGGAGCGGAGACACAGACCTTACTTTTAGATGCAGAGTACCGGCCAGCGCCATGGCTCACCTGGTTAATCCTCCACCTGCAGCAGCACCGGCATCCCATATGGGCACCTGATTCTATTCCTGGTTGTTCCTCTTCCAGTCCAGCTCTCTGCTGTGGCCCGGGAGTGCAGTGGAGGATGGCCCAAGAGCTTGGGCCCTGCACCCCATGGGAGACCAGCAGAAGCACCTGGTCCCTGGCTTCGGATCGGCACAGTGCCAGCTGTAGAGGCCATGTTGGGGGGTGAACCAACGGAAGGAAGACCTTTCTCTCTCTCTCTCTCTCTCTCTCTCTCTCTCTCACTGTCTAACTCTAGCTGTCAAATAAAAAAAAATAGATGCAGAGTATCATGTTGCACGTATGCATGCTTATAGGGAGGGGAGGAATCCCTGCAGCCACTTTATAAACTGTGACAAACCAGGTTTCAACATCATTTTCTGGACTTGCTGACAAAGGGCCTAACTAGAATAAAAAGGAGGCCAACACAAAGAGTGCTCAACAGAGAAAGGACAAGGAGTGGGGAACGACACTGCAAGATGCACTCCAAGAAGAAACCCCTGGTTGGTTAAACACCATTAGTCTACACAAGCGGACTAAAATACTCTTAGACCTTAAACTCTCTTGACTTTGTTAGTTATCTGGGTAAAATTCTAACTTCACAGACAGGGCTGTCAATCAGATACATCAAAGACATAAAACAATAAAAACCATTTCTAGCTACAAATTGCTCACACTTGTTACTAATCATCTGGACAGTGTAACTTGACCTTTTCTCAATTCCCACACTTTTTGTCTTCTCAACACATATCCCTGCTGATATCCTTGGCCACTTCCCACATCTCTGCTTCCTGGATAAAGAATGTATTGATGGGGCCGGCACTGTGGCATAGCGGGTAAAGCCGCTGCCTGTAGTGCCGGCATCCCATATAGGCACTGGTTCATGTCCCGGCTGCTCCACTTCCAATCCAGCTCTCTGCTATGGCCTGGGAAAGGAGTAGAAGATGGCCCAAGTTTTTGGGCCCCTGCACCTACATGGGATACCCGGAAGAAGCTCCTGGCTCCTGGCTTCAGATCAGCACAGCTCCAGCTGTTGTGGCCAATTGGGGAATGAACCAGCAGATGGGAGATCTCTCCCTCTGTCTCTCTCTCTCTCTCTCTCCCTCTCCTTCTCTCTCTGTGTAACTCTAACTTTCAAATAAATAGATATTTTTTTTTTAAAAAAAAGGATATATTGATGCAAAAACTAAAAGCATGTTGAACACCTAAAGCAGGAGTGAGGAATATCCAGCCATCTGGCCATATAAGGCTCATGAAATCATTTGGTTTAACACTGCCAAGGCAACTGCAGGCGAGACTTGAAATTCAATAAATCTATGAGGTTTTCTCATAGCAACAGAAATTTATATTAAGTGAATCCCACTAATAACATAAATTTTGAGGGACAAGCAAGGAACATCCATTACTGAACAGACAGGACCCACATGGGTACACGATGGGGTAGACACGTAGGCTTCTCATTGGCTCCCCACAGCCCGCCTGGCTAAACTGCACTGACTCAAAGGACAGATGTTGCCAGGTAGGCTGGGAGGATGTGTGTTGGGACAGTGTAAATGCACTGTGGCAAACTGTGGTGGGCCCACCGGTGACGAAACAGATGCTGTAAAATGATTCTCCACAACACGGATGGCCAGCGGTGACGCTGTTGACTTCTTTGCTGAGAGAAGATAAATCCAATCGAACTCTAATCCACACATCCATGATCAACAATCCCTGAGAAAATGGAATCACCCCAGTCTCGGTCCAAGAGGTTTCATTATGGACCACTGCCCCAGGCACCAAGAAGGTCTCTGTGCACAGCTATTGTATGGACCACTGCACCAGGCACCAAGAAGGTCTCTGTGCACAGCTGTTGTATGGACCACTGCCCCAGGCACCAAGAAGGTCTCTGTGCACAGCTGTTGTATGGACCACTGCCCCAGGCACCAAGAAGGTCTCTGTGCACAGCTGTTGTATGGACCACTGCCCCAGGCACCAAGAAGGTCTCTGTGCACAGCTGTTGTATGGACCACTGCCCCAGGCACCAAGAAGGTCTCTGTGCACAGCTGTTGTATGGACCACTGCCCCAGGCACCAAGAAGGTCTCTGTGCACAGCTGTTGTATGGACCACTGCCCCAGGCACCAAGAAGGTCTCTGTGCACAGCTGTTGTATGGACCACTGCCCCAGGCACCAAGAAGGTCTCTGTGCACAGCTGTTGTATAGACCACTGCACCAGGCACCAAGAAGGTCTCTGTGCACAGCTGTTGTATAGACCACTGCCCCAGGCACCAAGAAGGTCTCTGTGCACAGCTGTTGTATAGACCACTGCACCAGGCACCAAGAAGGTCTCTGTGCACAGTTGTTGCAGCTCAACAACGGGATGTCAACAGCAGAATCATGGGGCTGGTGCTGTGGTGTATCGGGTCAAGCTGCCACCTGCAGTGCTGGAATCCCATACAGGTGCCAATTTGAGTTCCAGCTGCTTCACTTCTGATCCAGCTCTCTGCTGTAGCTTGGGAAAGCAGTGGAAGATGGCCCAAGTCCTTGGGCCCCTGCACCCGTGTGGGAGACCAGAAAGAAGCTCCTGGCTCCTGGCTTCGGATTAGCACAGCTCTGGCCATTGCAGCCATTTGGGGAGCGAACCAGTGGATGGAGGACCTCTCTCTCTCTCTCTCTCTCTCTCTCTCTCTCTTACTCTCTTTCTCTCTGCCTCTATAACTCTGCCTTTCAAATAAAAAATAAATCTTAAAAAAAAAAACAGTAGAATCATGAATAAATTTTATCAAAAACAGAGAGCTTAACAGCTGCCAGTTTAAGGAGTTACTGAATGATCCTGACTCTGAGTCCAGTGATCCTGTTTGTCTCTGTAAAGTGTGGTGGCTGAGCTGTGGGAACAAGCTCATCAGCTTTTACAACCTGTGGGATGAAGTCAAGTTGTACAGATGAAGGATAATCCTGTCAGGGAAACTCAAGACAGCAAGTGGCTGTGTGGATCTATCACCCACGCAGGACATGACCAGGTGCCTCTCAGGGGTGGACGTCAAGCTGCAGGGCCCCGACCAGCTTCTCAGCTCCCTGCTTCAGATGTGAAAGCACTGGACACTAAATCAGGGCTGTGGAAAGTCGATCTCAAAAGGAATAACACAGCCGGCGCCATGGCTCACTAGGCTAATCCTCCGCCTGCGGCGCCGGCACACTGGGTTCTAGTCCCAGTTGGGGCGCCGGCTCTGTCCCGGTTGTCCCTCTTCCAGGCCAGCTCTCTGCTGTGGCCCAGGAGTGCAGTGGAGGATGGCCCAGGTCCTTGGGCCCTGCACCCACATGGGAGACCAGAAGAAGCACCTGGCTCCTGGTTTAGGATTGGTGCAGCGCACCGGCCGCAATGCGCCAGCCGTAGCGGCCACTTAGGAGGTGAACCAATGGAAAAAGGAAGACCAGCCGGCGCCGCGGCTCACTAGGCTAATCCTCCGCCTAGCGGCGCCGGCACACCGGGTTCTAGTCCCGGTCGGGGCGCCGGATTCTGTCCCGGTTGCCCCTCTTCCAGGCCAGCCCTCTGCTGTGGCCAGGGAGTGCAGTGGAGGATGGCCCAGGTGCTTGGGCCCTGCACCCCATGGGAGACCAGGAAAAGCACCTGGCTCCTGGCTCCTGCCATCGGATCAGCGCGGTGCGCCGGCCGCAGCGCGCCGGCCGCGGCGGCCATTGGAGGGTGAACCAACGGCAAAGGAAGACCTTTCTCTCTGTCTCTCTCTCTCACTGTCCACTCTGCCTGTCAAAAAAAAAAAAAAAAAAAGGAAGACCATTCTCTCTGTCTCTCTCTCTCTCACTTGTCGCTCCCCCTCTTCGTGGAGGAACGACACAGGACCCTGCGCTGTTCTTTCATCTGCTCGGCCCTCCCCGGGTTTGCTGCTGGTTCTTCCCGGGTTGCCTACCGACCCTTCCACCTCCGTGGAAGGGCGGTTCCCCCTGCCACATTCCCCACTTCCGCAGGGGAGCAGCACACCGCCGGCCGGCTCTCTCGGGGGCTGCACAGGTGTTCCCCTTAGATGTTCCTCTTAGATGTTCCTGGTGCATGCCGTCTCTCTCCTCCTATATAGTCCTCTTCCACCAATCCCAACTCGGCTGCCCACACGCCGAGCACGCTGCTCTCCTCCAATCAGGAGCAAGTCCTACAGTTTATTGGCTGAACTGGAGGCAGCTGTGTAGAAGCTGTTTTCTTCTCTCCCAGCGCCATATTGTGGGAGAGCAGATGCATAGAATAAGTCTTAATTCCAGTAACAGTATAGTCCGAGTTGCTCCCCACACTCACTAACTCTGCCTATCAAAAAAAAAAAAAAAAAGGAATAATACACTGTATCTCCCTACTCTGAAAGGACAACGCTTTCTACGGCCCCTGGATATGCCGTAGAAAGTGAGCAAGGCTGATGGAGGCATTGGATGAGAGATTCAGGGTGGGACGAGTCAACCGATGGAACTGAACATTCCCCATTCAATGCGGAACCAGCTGAACACAAAATCATTCAGCTGCAATGAACGCTGGGTGTAACAACTTCCCACTGCTCGAGTTCTCTAAACGTTACATGTAAAACAATGATGGACTTCCCACTTGGAGGAGATACACACTGAAGCATACACCTGTACTCAAAACCTCCCATCGCAAGGAGTCGGCTGAGCTTGAGAAAAATTGACACAACCCTGGAAAAAAGCAGTTTTGAGTAGCGACATCATCAACACCGGCTAACATCATACACCTCACCAAAGAGAAGCAGTTTCTTCCAGCCATTACACTGAGGGTGAGTGAATTAAATGGTTGATCAAAGACCCTCAGGCTAATCTTTAAGCTGAAATTCTGTATGGCCTGTGAATGATGGTATAAACATCCAAACGGCCATGGCAGAAAAATAAAAAGGCTCCCCATTCCTGCTGTAAGGTGTAACATCTTTCCTCCCAAGCAATCCTACGTGCAGAATTCTTTTGTTCTCAGACTGCACAGACACGTCAACACACATCTGAATTTGGATCACAATGTCCTTGCCTTTCTGGCTCTTTCTTGCTGTGCTTTTAGCTCTTGTTTTCTCATCCCACCAAACACAACAGCTATATCTCTCAGGATCCTGAGTAGCAAGCAGTGGAGAACCATATTTATTGTCTTAAGCAGACAATAAATATGAGAAAACGTTGCCCTACAAAATTAGTTAAGTCCAGCCAAAGAGCAGACGTCAGCTGAGACACGCTGCAGAAGCCCAGGCATGGCACCAACGACCCGGTCTCTCACATTCTCCTCGCCTCCTCTAAAATTAGTTTCAAATAAAAGCTGTCTCCCAGTGTGGTCAACAGATGCCTGGCGGGAGCTCCAAGCTACAGACTTCTTCCCTTTTAGAAAAAGCAACAACTTGCCCTGAAGTTTCCCTGGAAATGGGAGGAAACCTATTTCCCAGAATTCACCAGCGTCTTGTCTCTTACTGGCCCAAATCTGGTCACATGTTCAGTCATGCACTCTGTAAACACAGGGAAACATTCTGAGAAATGGGTCATTAAGTGACTCCATCCTTGTGCAAATGTCCAGAATACACTAACCCAAGCCCAGGTGGTACAGGCTGACCGTGACAGGTGGCCTCTTGATGCAATCAAGAGATGTGACCCACAGCAGATGTCCGAGGCTGCTTCTGGTTAATGCAACAAACTTTCATTTTAGAAGTAGATGGAGCACACTCTAAAATAATAATAATAATAAGCACATTATACTAAATAAGTAAACCAGCAAAATAATTGTGTATTACCATTATTGACGGAACAAAGACATAAGCCTCGGCCATTCGCATCCACTGCCCAAAAGACAGATAAACACTGGAATGTATTCTTTGCCCTTGAATCTCAATTGGATCTCACACCCTGTTGCCTTCATACGGGGACCCTGCATTCTTTCCCATGTTCCCAGGGCCCCGCCCAATTCCAGGAATTCCCCTCTGCCTGCTGCCCCCTACCCCACTCCAGCCCCAGCCCTCCTAAAATATAAAAAGGCCTGGCCCCTGGGGGTCGGGGCCTTCTGTCTCGTGTTCCATCACGTGCACGCCGGCAGCTGGTCACCCCCCTCTACGAATCTATTTTTTCTGAAGAAATTCGGTCTGGCTGTGAATTTGTGCACTGACTCCTCTCTGTTCTGTGCCTCTTTTCCTAACATTTATGGTGCCCCGTGTGAGGAGGCACCGATCTGTAACTCTTTTCCTAACAATTATCTATTATTAGTACGTTTTTTTGTTTGTTTGTTTGTTTTGGCAGGCAGAGTGGACAGTGAGAGAGAGAGAGAGAGAGAAAGGTCTTCCTTTGCCGTTGGTTCACCTTCCAATGGCCGCCGCGGCCGGCGCGCTGCGGCCGGTGCACCGCGCTGATCTGATGGCAGGAGCCAGGGAGCCAGGTGCTTTTCCTGGTCTCCCATGGGGTGCAGGGCCCAAGCACCTGGGCCATCCTCCACTGCACTCCCTGGCCACAGCAGAGAGCTGGCCTGGAAGAGGGGCAACCAGGACAGAATCCGGCGCCCCGACCGGGACTAGAACCCGGTGTGCTGGCGCCGCTAGGCGGAGGATTAGCCTAGTGAGCCACGGCGCCGGCCAATTATCTATTATTATTACGTACTATGCACCACTGTATATGCTATACTTCTATACAACTGCAGCATAGTAGGTTTGTTTACACCAGTACATGTTTACACAAACAAGTGAGAAGTGCACTATGCTTCAATAGCTGTGACGTCACTGGGGAACAGGAATTTTTCAGCTCGATTATAATCTTATGGAACCACCATTGTCTATGTGGTCCATTCTGAGTGGCAACATCATTATATGGTACACGACTGCGTGTACTTCAGACAACTTACTGAGCCCCAGAGAATGAATCTATCCTTGCTGATTAGCTGAAGCTGATCAGGTAGCATGCTACCTGATCAAATCTGTGGATGGGCTCAATACCACTTAAATGGATAGATTTTGCCCAAGAAAACCCAGTGGGCTTGGAGCCAGTGAGAAGCAATGGGTGCTAGGGAGCAATCAACAAGACTCAATTACAATGGCTTAACTTCTAACTCTGAAATTCCACTGAATATATGTCTACCTTCCATAACATAGTAGGACAAAAATGCATGAGTGGAAAGCTTTGTAAAAGCTCTGCTGTTCTTACTGACAGAGGCAGGGAGGTAGCCAGCAGAGAAAAATGAAGACTGCCCGCACCTGCATCCCAGCCCCATGTGCACCAGCCGAACCTTACCCCTCCATCAGACACATGCCAGGGAGCCATACACAGCTGGAAATACCCAAAATGGCTGCAGGCTGAGTGCCTACAATGATAAAGAAATTATCATAATCAGCACACCCACTCCCACCATGCATCTGATGACCTGCCAAGGTTTACAAAAAGGGGCATAGAAATAGGTAGTACTTGAGCTCTGCCCCAAACTCCATCTGCTTTGAATATGCAATTAAGCCCTGCCTAGACACCACCCCCTGTGCCTGTAGATCCTATAAAGGATGACCCAAAATTTGTTAACTGCAGCATTCTGCCATGAGGCTACTCACTCTCCCCTCTCAGAGTATACTTTCTCTTTGCTTTTAAATGAAGCTTGCTCCTGTGCTCATCTTTATCTATGTCTCCTCCTTGAATTATTTTTTTTAAGATTTATTTATTGAAAGGCAGAGTTCAGAGAGGGAGAGAGAAGGAGGGAAGGAGGGAAGGAGGGAGGGAGAGAGCGAGAGAGAGAGAGAGGTCTTCCACCCACTTCCATTCACTCCCCAGATGGCCATAATGGACAGAGCTGTGCCGATCCAAAGCCAGGAGCCAGGAGCTTCTTCTGGGTCTCCCACGTGGGTTCAGGGGCCCAAGGACTTGGGCCATCTTCTACTGCTATCCCAGGCCATAGCAGAGAGCTGGATTGAAGTGGAGCAGCCGGGACTCAATCGGCACCCATATGGGATGCTGGCACTGTAGGCAGTGGCTTTACCTGCTATGCCACAGTGTCAGCCCCTGAATTTTCTTGCACAGAGACAAGACCCTGGACCAAGCTTAGCCAGGGACCTCTCCTACGATAATATCACATGTGAATGAGAGGTACGTGCTGCCCATGTGTTTCCCACAAACCACTTCTCATATTCTCCTAGAACGTGAAAGTAATAAAACAAGTATCATGTTCTGTTAATTCATCAAATGACTCAACTGGCCTTGTGCCCGTTTTCTTATTTAATCTGTTTTGATGCCATGGGGGCATGTTCTTTTCATTATTTTACAACTTCGTTAATTTAAGAAAACATCTTAGACCTCTTCTCATCCAAATCAAAGTTAAATGGATCTTGGCTCCTTCTGAGGAAGGAAGAGATTTTACAGGCAATTGAGCAAGTAAGAGGATAACTGACGGTCCACTCACCAAGCCGGAACAGTGCTTGCTGGC